AAAAAATTTCTAAAATTAACCACTTTGCTTTACATCCCTAATGCTACATTTCTTCCAGAAAATATACCTTCTTGAAAAGTCAGTTTAAAATAGGAATATGAACAGGGGCCAACATATCTACCTGGATCCTGTTTTTAAAAAGCATGCAAGTTTTAAACAGTAAAGATTTTTAAATGATGCAAACCAATGTCTAAAACTGCTGAAAATAATATACTAATATAATTAGTATAAATCCACATATTAATTTCCTTCCTAATATTGCAAAGTAGTTGCATCACACAAGAAACAAGGCAGAAAAAATAGTTTAGTTGATTAAAATATGAAGTGCATTGTATGAAATAGCTACTTGTGTATTCTTCAAGCACAAGTGAAAAATCCAAAATTCCTCTGAAACAAAACACAACCAAAAGAGAGACACCATCAGAAACAGGAAAGTCAAGCTGACTTACATATTTCTACTGTTTTGGTTGTCAAAGGGAGCATTAACAGCAGAGAATAGACATTATTTAACAGATTATCAACCTAGTATATACATCTGCACTGTCACTGATGAGTATTTAAAGTAGACAGATATTTGAATAAAAGTTATCCATAATAAATTTAATAAAATATACCTTTAAAGCTAAATAGCAGATATACATTTAAAAATTTATGGCAAATGCAAGATTCAAACTTTGCTAGTTTTCCCTGAATACAGAAAAGAACTAGAAGAACTGAGTCAAGAGTTTAAAGCTGGTGTTATGCACAAATATAGTTAAGATGATCACAATGACAAGGGCAGACTCCAAATTTGTGAATACTGCTTTAAAATCAAGGTACAAGACCTTTATCTCTGATTTAAGGCTTTCTCAGCTGCTGTAAGTTCTACCAAACTTTCAGTCATAAAAAAAAAATCCAACCCAGGATATTCCTCTGCCCTCCCTTCTCAGGACACCTTCTAACAAAACGCAGGTGAAGACTTGTCTCAAGAACAGAGCTGAGAGCCTTCAGCCTTGACGGCAGGCCTGACTTGCTCATGAAGCGCTAGATTAATAAATGTTTTTCAGCCACGTATTTTTAAGTAGAATATGAAACTTCCACAGGTTTTTGTTTATTAAAGTCAGACACTATACAAAATATATGTATTGATATATAAATATTGTTTATTAAGCATTGTATTATTTATGTAGGAAATTCTGTCCATATCTTGTATTTAAAGAATTTTGCTGCTGTTTTAAATAACAGCCAAGGAAAGTATCTGCATCAAGAAATTTTGGAAATTAATGGTGTACACTACACTTGAGACATCATCCTTGAATTAAGGAAGAGATTGTCCGCTCTGCGTCAGATCTGGCTCCTTGAGAAGATGCAAACAGGAGTCATACAAATTTAGATGAGTTTGCTGTTCAAGAACCTGCCTTGGTGTGGACACCCTTCATAACGTTCCAGGCAACCCAGAAAATAGCAATTGCCTGTTCTACAAAATTTGCTTGAGGATATGCCAGAGGGGAAGTACCTAAAGGACAGTTTCTACCGTATAGCTGTCACAGCCTGCCTCTCTGGGGCCTTGATAACCAAGCAGCTTGCCAATAAGAAGTGCGCTTATCCATACAGTTCATTGTCTCCATAGAGTCATTGGAACAGGGATGCCTACCTTGGGTTTTGAGAGTAGCACTTAAGTTGCAAGCCATCCTCTGAAGCTGTAGTTGCTAAGTACAGGCTACCCTATACTGGCCAGCACTTACACTGGAAACTACCACAGAGAGGAATGAAAATCCAGTCTGCTTTATGCAAAATAGGCCTAGTATTGGCAAAAGCATTTCATTGACAACCAAAATTAGCATGATCTCCTTAACATCCATGTTCTGGCTGAGCATTTTAAGGGTTTTATCAGCGAGAAAGTGTTTAACGAAGTCCCTTCCTTCCTCTCTGCTGTGAAGGGAACAAGGAGCTCCTTAATTCAGTGGGAGAAGCCATGGAGGAAGCAAGCCAGAGAAAGCTACATCAGACATAAGCAGACATCCACTTTAAAGTAACGAAAAAGTTATTACCTCTTTTAATATCCTACTGCAGCTTACCCTACTAGGGCAGGAAAATCTATACAGCCTAACAAAGGATGCCAGATGGAAAATTCCACTGAGCTTAATTAGCTCACTGCTATTCCTGGAATCCCTGATACTGATGCAACTGTAAGATGGAGATGTTTTTTCTTTTCCCTAACATGCATTTTTACGTTAGTTCTTAAAGGTGTAATTGTCACTCAATTAAAAAAAAAGAAGTGCAAGATAGGAAGTAGTGCTTTGATTTCAGCTGAGAAAACAAAAATAAACACTATTTTCTCAGGCTACACTAGATACTTAAATGAACAGTCTTATTTTTTGTGCATATTACTGCATGACATATAATGGTTTCCCAAGTTTTACATGAAATTAGAAGAAAGAGAGTAAAAAGAGACTGAAGACAGTAAAGATAGTAGAGTCAGACACATGAGTAAAGATGAATGTCTAGAGAATGCTGAGAACCTGTAGAAAAATATTGTTGCCTGAAGACAGTGATTAGTAAAACCAAAATGAACATCAGAGCAGGAAAAGGGAAAAAAAAATAAATCAAAGGCTTGTGAAATTCATGAGAAGAACAAATGAGGCAGCCTCGCTCAACTACAGATAACAGCAGACAAATCAGCTAGATTCCCCAGGATTAGGATGAAGGCATTTTATATTTACTTTGCAAAAGGTTAAGTAATGTTCCCATTTACCCCTGGCAAAAATATACCACACAGAGAGGCTTTCCCAGGCTACTTTGAAATTCAAAAGAAAAAAGCTCAATTCCTCATCCAGCACCAAAATGTACTTCACTTCGGCTTGCTTCTCCTATTTTAATATTAAACCTCATGTTGGGGGGGGGGGAAGGGGGAAAGCACGTTATGGTCATTGATGTTGCTTTAGCTATCCAAAAGAGAGAACCAATATGGCTTAAAATAATTACCATCCTGTCATGTAGTCATATCAGAAGTTACGCTTAAGTGTACAAAAGTATGAAATCAAACAACTTCCATTCCATTGCCAAACTGTCTCAGCAAGAAGATACATTCACTACCCTTCGTTGTTGGTCTCCACAAGACAACTCCTTGTGTTTCACACTTTCTGTTACTGCATTGCAAGGTAGATGGCTCTTATGTCACCTAAAGCCCCCTTTAATTTTCTGTGAAAATCCAGAGTATTCTCAGACAAAATTTCATTTGAAGGCATTTTACATTCTCCAAAAAGAAAAGCCTTAATCCACAAATAAGTTAGGAACAGATTTTCTGCCTTCATTTCTTTTCCATCAAGAAAATTTCCAGTAAATTCTGTATTTTCTGCAGAAACTCTCAAACACAAGTTACATGCATGTGATTTTCTAGGCTGAAAGACACATTAACTCTATCACATAGCAAACTGCAAAATCTTTCCCCACTCTTCAGCTACCACAGTTTGAAGTGGAAACTCAGAAACTTCTCACTGCTGAAATTCACTTTACCACATCCCTGAAGAATCTACCCATCTACAAACAGCTGAAGTTTTTTGCGATGACCCCCTCACCGTTCAAATGTAATCATGGAGAACTCTATTTAAATTTTAACAGAAAGCACTCCCATGATCTATCTTCCTTTAACGTGATGGAGTGGAATTGATGCTAAAAGACAAAGTTGCTCATTGACATGCTCACATCTAGTCACCATGACCAAGCGTCAGCTCCGATAAGTTGTCTTACAAAGCACACAGCTGAAGAGTAGTGCTGAAAAGAGTAACTTGCTCTGAAGAATAGTCAAGACTGAAATGTAGCTTGTGGAAAAAGGATGGAGAGAAGGCAGGGCAGTACGGCTGTGATTAGAAAGGGGAAGAAGCAGTGCACGCAGTAACATGGAGAAGAACTGTAGACTCACAGAACACAGTCTGTAGATGAGAAGGACCAAGACGACTGAGCGGAGGAGACAAGAGCAGGAACTAGACTTGGACCTATTGTAGGTGGGAGAAAGTGTGCTAGAGAGATGTTATAGAAAGTCTGAAAGAGGGCAAAAGACAGAAATAGGGAGCAAGAGAAATGGGAAACTCTGACAAGAAGCCAAGAGTAGTCCTGAAACAGCCCAATAACGCATGCAATAAATAAGGCCTACAGAAACCGAAAAATGAAGTTCATTAATGAAAGAGCTTCAGGAACAAATTCTCACAACCATTACACACAGGCAACCTTTATTCTGACACTTCTTAACTTCTGAAAGCTAATCATAGCAAATTTTAAGGTAATTTCTGCCACATTTTTAAAATTTTAAAACATACATTCTTTCTCACATACTATTTTACAATTAGCAAGGATAAAGAAAAAGGACTAGGAATAATCACAAGAAAAATTCTAATTAAAGATTTGGGAGGTAGGGATAGAAAAGATATTAGAATCTTAATACAGGAAGAAGAGATTCTATACACATTTCCTAAGTAGCACCCCAAGAAACAACCATCTCCACTCTGCAACCAAAAAGCACAAACACAAAGGCTGAGAAGAAATTAAGAAAATAATTTAGTTAAACATCCAGAAGGTCTATCACCTGCAAACAATTAAAAATCTTGATTTGACTAACAGAAGAAATTATTTGACCTGAAGTTTGTTCCATAGCTAATCGAGCTATAAAACAGTCTGGATTCTCAGACAATGCTATTGCTTCAAATAATTCGAAACCTTGGTATTTAGTCTTTTATCTTAAAGATTTTATAAATACAAGTTAATGAAATTATCAGAACATGGAATGTTTTAAAGTGCTTTGCTATTGGCTTGCAACCAGTATACAAAACACACACACAAAAGAGCAAACTCATGAAGAGTGTTGTTTTTAAGCTGCAAAATATTTTGGAGGAAAAAAACAACAACTATGTAGTGAAGAAGACAAACATTTGCATAATTTTTAACAGCATGAATTAACACTTTAAAAATGGACAATGTGTGAATAGCTCCAAATATCTGAATCTGCATGTGTACAAGTTTCTTACCAGCCGCCGGTAAATCCAGCTTTGCTCGTTTCAATTCTGATATAGAATTTTGGAGCTGGTCTATTACGAAGTCATCTTCATAGAAGAAATCCTTGGCTAAAGACTCCTGTAGAAATTCCACAAGCTCTTCCATTTGTAATTTCATCAAATGCTCTATATAAGAAGAAGATATTATACATAAAAATATCTTGATAATGTACATTAAACTTGGAAAATGAACTTAAGATAGTAGATACTGTTGTTTTCAAAGTAGAATGAAACCCCCTTATTAATTAAGCAGGTAATAAAAGTCTACACTAGAAATCTATAAAATGCATTAAAAATTCACTTGCAAATCGGCATGGAAATCATTTTTACTTATCATTCTCTACTCAGGACAATGTTTTCTAAGAGGGGGCATATTCAGAAAACTAACTACAAGTCACCCTCTTTCAGCCGCCTTATGTCCAACAGCTTCAGATCTTTATTTTTCAGCCCATATCCTCAACTTACAAAACACCACTGTAGATCTGTACAACATACACCATTTCTCTTATTAAGAGCTTTGAAAAGCAATAAAACATTTTAAAACTTGATATTCCAACGAAATGATGATAGCAGTTCACACGTCAGAACCATTGCTTCAGGCGCTCTGAAAATTCAGGTACTTTTTGCTACTTCAATCACACTCAGGTCACATTTTGAAAGGCGTTTTACAGTTATCAGATTATTTTTCCTTCTGTTTGACACAGCAGTAAGGCCATGTTTCCCACACAAACCTGTTTGGCTTGCAAGGCTGTAACTGCATACCTATGTAGCTTCTTTAAGCATATGTATGCCACCAAGAGCTCCAGAATGTACAATTTCTATACAGAAACCACAAAAAATGGTTTTGCAGTGTAATAAAAATGCTATTGGCACTTATTCCACAATGGCATTTTGACTGGATAGCGATACGGTCAATGTTTTTAAGGGTAGAGAAGAGACTGGAAAACAAACCAGAATCCACCTTCTGCCAGTCCCTTAATCTCTTCTACCTTGCCATAAGGTACTCTTGGTGTATTGATCGCGGAGGAAGTCGCTACGTACTTGCTAAGCAAGCAAACCCACACTTGGACATTTTCCTCAGGTCTTCCCATAACAAGTGTAGTGAATAAAAAAAAATTGTCAAGTAGATGTCCATTTGCAAATAAAGAAGATAAACCAAAATGCTACGTGTAATGACTTGCCTCTAAATGTTTTGCTTAAGTACAATAATTAAACAAGTAACCTTTTTCATCTTTCAAAGCAGTTTATGAACACATCGACAAATACACCCCAGTGAGACAGGGAGGCAGTACCACCACAGTTCCAGAAGGGTAAACTAGCAAGCAAATTATGACATCAATTCTGCAGGCTCCAGGCAGACCCCTGAATTTACATAGAGTCAAATGACTTCACTAAGAAAGCCAAAGTCCCAGAGTAAGACTTTATCAAACTTGAGCTACAAGGTTATCATCCTGAGAAATGCTCAAGTCTATTTAGGTGCTAACACCCATCCCAAAAAGTTTTTTGGATCCTTTGGTACTTAAGGTGCTAAATCCCTTTTGGGAATGAGGCATAGATGCTTGGGATAATTTTTTCTGTTCAAAATCTCAAATTTTACTTTATCTGAAGGCAAGAGATGGAAGAGAAGGCCATCCAGGCAGACTACATAAATTCTGAATTTTAATTACATTCTTGGACAAACAATGGTATGATGACAGACATACACTGGTGTTTCCTTATTGCCAAGTCGTTTGCTGATAGAGGTTCAGGTATTTAGTGGCACACTCTGGATTCTTTGTGCACTTTTTTGATTATTTTAAATCCTGTAGGGGCTAATGAGCCATTTCCAAACCGTGGAACTACAACATTTTTTCCCCATTGTTTAATCAGCAATTCAGCTCATCTCATGTCAATGTTTAATTACCTGTCTTACTGTAATAAATATTTTTCTTTGGCAATCACACACACTAATAAAGATTTTGATCTGTTTGTCCACAAGGAAAGAAAGATACCTGTCAGAAATAGCATAAGGCAAACGGGAAACTAAGATTTTCACACAAGGTCAAGCTACATGAAATAAGAACAAAACCAGCTGAATCTCCATTGAGCATTCAAATGTTTGAAAGATTTCTTACTTCTGTGTAGTTTCAGAATTGTGTAAGACATAGCAGTGAGAATCCGCTCTCCTTCAAGTATGTAGATATCCCATATCCTAAGGCTTAATGTAAAGGGAGTCTGCAATGACAGAGTCAGGCAACACTGTGAAACTGTCCCAAGTCACAATTAAAAACAGAAACAGAAAATGGAAAGCATACTCACACGATCAAGGAAACACTGGAAAAACCACTTTGTTGTGTAAAAGCTAGTGGACATATCCTGGGAGTCCTGTAAAAAAACAAAGAAGGCTAAAAATACTCACAAAAATCAAGTCCATGCACTTGCACTGTCCATGAAAAAAAACATTTTCACCTTGAAGCCAATGTACCAATATGCACCATAAAGAATTAATTTAACTACATGAAACACTGTTGCTTCAATCCAACAAATACAATTTCTGTCTTTCATAGTTTTTTTTCATCAACTTCACCACCTGAAGAAACATGCATTCTGAGATGCAGAGGGTACTAACACATCTTAGATCCCCCTCTTATTCTTGGGACAGAGGTAGCAGAGGATTAAGTCCTCTCTCAAGAAAATAAATCAATATTCTGGAGCAACCAAAGTTCAGGCACTGGGTCCATTTAGTCTTTCATTTCTCTATAGCAAGGCTGCCAATTCTCGCTAAAGGGTGAAAAGATTTGGGACAAGAATACATATATACCAGAAACCAGCCTAAAACAATCAAATTCTTCAAACGCAGGACCCCAAACCCGCACTTAGACCAATAAGCAATTTCGTTCCTTAATTAAGGGGCCTAATTTCCCCTAGAGCATAGATGGTCCATGGCACGCCACTCCATTCAAAGATGGCTAAAGCTTCTTCGCAGTTTCACAGAACTCTTCAAAGCTCTTTGCACAGTTAGAGGAAAAGCCAAAGTAAAAGCTGAAAAGCTTAGAAATTCTGAATTTTAACTTTGGGATAACATCATATTCTATGCTTGCCACATTCAGCTTTTCCAAAAATTTCAAGTATACAAACACTGAATAAGCAATGGACCAAATCCCTCTTGATTTATCTACAGGCTTTACCATCATCTGTCAGCGAGTTAAGACAGACTCATCTTAGTGATATATTCACAGGAATAAATGAGGAAAAATAATTCTTAATTTAAATAAACTTCATGAGATTTTCATTTTGAGAGTCTTTAAAAAAAAGCAAACAGAACAAAAGACACCGTATTTTGAGATTTTTCTAACTTGTAAGAATGGCCATCAGCCTACTGAAAGACAGACATAATGTACCACGCCCTTCCCTGAGAAAAGCTGATTGCTATTAAATTTAATGCCACTAAACTAATTCACACAAAAATCAAGCTATGTTCTGATTTTAAAATGAAATGAAAAATATATAATAAATGTGTATAGTGAATGTTCTCTGGCCAAGAACTCTCTCAGAAGGGAGCTAGCAAAGCATTTTATTTAAATTAGCTTTTTCAATTACTAAAGCAACTTTCTCCTCTTTTCTGAAACTTTATTTTTCAAGTGAACCAAAGGAGAGAAGGGGAAAAACCCCTCTTGATTATTAAATGCAGCAATAAGTGGTATATAAGCAATATAAAAAATTTAATAACATGCCAGCCTTAGGTTGTATCACCTCAATTGTGTATAATTATTTTTATTTTTTTAGGAAGTATAAGGGCCTTTTAACATTTATTGTTAAAACCACTCAATCTTCTTGGGATTATTCTGTATTTTGTTCCTGAAACAGGACAATCTCAAAAATGAGAATAAGATAAAATTTTAAATAAGAATCATCATCTTGCAGGTACTGTAATAATCAAATCTACAACTTTCATTTCAGAGCCAAGTTAGTCTTGCTTTTATTTTTTTTTTTAAATATGACAAGATCATCTTGCCCGACTAACTTTGACTTGGCCTTTTAACATAAGAGTGTTTTTTTCCTAACCAGAGCTACTTAATTCCATGCTATAAGCAGATCTTACAGCATGTTGTTAAAAAAAAGACATTAAATTCTATTTTATAATACAACAAGCAAACATTAGGTGCAATTCATCATTGCAGAGGTGCTAGTCTGATGCCAAATTGTCTTTTTTCTTTTTCTAAAGAGATAAACGTACTAACCAGAAAACAATATAGTCCTGGCAAGGTAATGTTTGTAAGGAGCTATCACTCTGAAAAGACATTTCTGCAACTAAGTATCTCTTACACTACCTTTTAAAACTTGGAGATGGATTCTGGCAGAACCAATGGGATTGTAAAAGAAAATTCTTGATGACTATTGGAAGGGCATTTTTCTCCCATTAGAAAAATTAATTGTTCCTTAGAATAAATACAGCCAATATTAGCAAAAGAATAAAGAGCGCGTTATTTCTTATTTAAGAGCATTAGAAGAGATAACACTCAGCATTTAGCTTCGTGAAGATACTACTGAGTATGTGCAAATTTTAGAAGGACCATTAACTCCTCTTATAAAGGTTACTTTTTAAACAGAGATTAAAACTGCTTGGTTGCAAAGTCACCTCTGTCCAGAGATGAGCCACAAAGCTTTACAAACAATAAACCCTCAATAAAATGTTTTAACATCAGCTTGCTAAAGAGCAGTTTGCACAAGGCCAAGTAGAAGGACCACACATTTTCCTTAACTCAGAGGTCAAAGTGAGACAGACACACAATTTAATTACTCTTAGGATCCAATTTTACCATAACTCTGCCAAGGTGCACCATAACTCTGTCTATCAAACAACAGCACTTCTGCCTCTTTGAGCTTTGCATTTATTTTATTTTTTTTTTTATGTTTGAGACATTCTTAACCTAGTGGGTTAACCTGAATTGAAACAAGGTAGCAAGCTGTAAATTAGTATTGCTTTTATTATGATATTAATACTTACCAAGTGCTGCTTAAGTTTGGATAAAAATTTTTTGAGTATTTTGTCATGATGTTCTTGAAACCTCAACAGTTTTGGAAAACCAGGAATAAAAAAACCTAAGAAAAGAAGTTGACCATGTAACAGGTGTATGTACTATAAAAATGACATTAAAAAAGGCATTCAGCGCTCTGATAACATTATCCTTCTATAAGACCATTGGATCTGAACAGATATTCATAGCAATATTACGATGTACAAACACGGATATGCACACAGTCCTATCAATACGTTCCCTTAGTGACTATTAGATTAGTAATGGTAGATGACAGCAGATCCATCAATCCTACGTTAGTCTACCCACTATACGATCCTTAGGAAACCAAATTTATAACTATTCTTTAAAAAAGCAAAACAAAAAACCACAATGCACATCAACTAAAACCTTTAAAAGCAAAAAGACATAAATCTGAATTATGCCTAGCAAATTCAGGATAGAAAGGCAAACAGCATAAGCAGCTACTAGGACTGTCAACACTGAAGACCATAAAAAAAAAAAAAAAGAGAAGAGGGATATTCTACCAAGACAAATATGAATATATAGTATAAAGTAAAGATTATAAGCTCGCACAACTGAAACTTAAGTACCTTAAAAATCTTGAATGGTTTCAGTGATCATACACTGGAAAAGGAAAGCACTAAGATCCCCTTCCAATTGAGTTATCAGCACAGTTAAATAAAAGCACAGAGCCAACACGTAATACTAGCCAAAAAACTTTAAATGTAAAGGAAAGGTAGTACAGCTACACAGCAGGAAAAGAAACCATTCAAAGAAGATGCTTCAAAAAGCCGAAGCTGTGTTCAGATCAGATAACCAGGGATGATCAAACGTTGGCAGGATAAAAATGTGAAAAACAAGCCTCCCCCCCCCAAAAAAAAAAAAACAACTTACAAAAGACATTAAAAAATACTAATAGATCTATTTTAAAACACCTTGGAAGTAGAAAGCCTGACGGAGAATTTGTAGGTTCAACAGTCTGTGAAGATTTTCAGAAGTCCTCAGAGAAGATAAAGTCAAGACTAAGAGAAAGTTCATTTTTTGCATGGAAGACACTGGGGAGGTTCCCAAGTCAGAACACTAAACGGTTCCAAAAGAACTCAAAGATCAACGAGGTGAAATATCAATTCTGTGAAACCTCTTGCTCAAAATACCAGGAGCCTGGAAAGTGGCTGTCAGCTTTTCTTAAACTGGTTTTCAGTCCAATATTGGTCCAATATTAAGGCCAATAGCCAGCGAGGAAACCGAGAGAAACCATAATAAAGTTGTGGTAAGCAGACATCCAAATGGATGCAACGTGCCAGAGAAGAAGCAACACAGTTTTTACACATACAGGTCATGTCTCTTAAATCTACTGGGCTTTCTTGAAGAAATTAGTGAGCATGTAGACACAGAGAGCAGTGGATATTGCCTATTAGACTTTCCAAAGGTACTTAATAGGTTCTGTCAACAAAGCAGCTTCATCTCTTCAGTCCATCTCCTGAAGCAGCTAAACCAAAGAGTTAAAAGATAGTAAAATAAAAAGACAAAAAGGCTTCACCCATGAAGTTGCATAGGAGTTTATGCTGGGACATAAGCTATTTGACATGTGTGTCCACACTGTGAACAATGAGTCAAGTCCTAGCCACCCTGAAAGAGTATTGGAAAATATGGAAAAGGCAAGAAGTCACAGAAATTATCAAACTATACAACCACTTCTGTGTCAAGAGCAGATTAAAATGCTACATCTGATCAGCCTGCTGTAAAGAAACAGCTGATGGGAAATACTACCAAGTGCCAGTGGTGAACAGGTTATGAACGCTCACTGTCTTCTCTAAGGCAAAATCTGGAGGACATCATTGAGACACAACCATGTGGCAGAGCCAAAACAACCCCAAATATGGAAGAACACAATCTGTAGTCAAACATAATGAATTTTTTAAGGAAAATAAGACTACTGGAGACTACTAAAGGCAAACAAATTTTCATCTCAAGAAGCTCCTCCAGAAATTCTTTCAGCCTCCAATACATTTTTCAGGAGGTGTTGATCTTTGATTGCCTTGTTCTCAGACACTTCACTGAGCATCTGTTGCTGGTCACTATCAGACAAGACGCTGGGTTAAACAGGTCTGGTACAGCAATTCCATACTTTCAGGATTAAAAAAGGCTACAAAAAAAAAAAAACAAACCCACAACAGCTTTTCCTTGTAAACGATAGGCAGTATGGAAACTGGAAGAACAAGTGTAGGCCCACAGAACACATCACTTAAAAAAAAAAAAAAAAAAAAAAAAAAATCACCAAAAAAAGTCCCAAACCAAAAAAAAAAAGAAAACTCTTTCTAGTTACCAATTCTGTAATTCAGTGCATGGTCACCAAGTCACAAGATTTACTATCTCAGATTCGCACAGGTTTAGTATTTCATAGATACAAGTGCACATTCTGTCAGATGTCAGGTTGCATATTAGGAAATATTACTAATATAGGCGAGGTGTTTGGGTTTTTTCTTCATGTAAACAACGAATGACTACAGCAAAGCTAATTAGCAATCAATCACATTCATAGGTTCTTCTTCCACGGAAAGTTGTTCTTTCAATTTATATATATATGAACTCATTATCTTGAATTTTTAAGACTATAGAAAGACCAACAGAAAAAGCTTTAAAAAAAAAATGGATTGTATTTTATCATTTAGAGACTTCAGATCATCCACACAATATGAAACACCAGAGAGGCCAAATTCATCCCTTGATTTCAAGTGGTGTTATGCTAGAAATTAGTCTGGCTATGCATCTGAGACACTCAAAAAGCATTCCAGGTTTCCAGATCACCAGTATAACGGAAAAACAGATGAAAAACCTTGTCTATGGGGAGGAACTTTTAACCATCCTACTCTTGTCAATATGGTTCTAATTGAGTTACTCAGCCCATCCATAGAATTTCCATAGACAGATGCTCATTTCAGAGAACCGTCTGATGGTCAGTGGCATCAAGTGTAATTATAAAAGTTTTCATTCATAAATATCAGCAATTTAAAGCCTAAATCATTTCAGTTCTAAAGAGTTGGCGAACAGTGCTTGAAACTACTTTCCTCAAAGAACACCACAGAAAAAGTACAAACAGTTATATGGCATCAGTTAAGTCAGTTTTAAAGCTTCCCTTCCAGAATTGACCGTGGTATTTACAGCAATGCTGTACTGTGGCATAAACCCATTTAAAACATAGACATTCAAAGAATCATAGGAAATCTAGCTTGGAATGGACTTCTGGAGACTATCTGGTCCAATCAGCTGAAAGCAGGACCTTTGATTAGGTTGGTAGCATTTATTAAACGATAAATTTGGAACATTTGAGTCCAGGTTTTGTCAGCATATCTATAAATGCAAACTTCCTTAACAGATATTGCCAAGACAGCTTCAATGTGCGTATAAACCTGTGGCACGATGGTTCGTATGCCCTGTAGAGGAACTCATCAAGCCTCTTGGGCTACTCAAAGATCCCTCCTTCCCCTTCTAATCACTTGACAGGTGTGTGCCCTGTAACTTGGGGTGGAAAGGAGAAGGGAAGGAACGAAGGAGGGAGAGAGGAAGGTCTGAATGGGGTATCCGGTAACAGTTGCGCAGGCAGTGCGCTGACTCCAGTATGTGCACAAGCAACACATCTGCCTGTGTAAGTCCATCACCAGCTACCAGATGAACCCTCTTGTTCATCACAGCAAGTTCAAATGGTGACTACAAAAATCAGCCTGAGAAATTAATGTTAAGAGTTTTCCATTACCATCACATTCCAAGGTTAGGACTCTTTCCTGTTTTAAAAAAAAGATGATACGGACAAAACACTAAGACATAACATCTGGGAAAAGTTTTAAAAACCTGTTTAACAGTCTACAGCATCTCAAAAAGTCAACAATGCCTATGCATAATATCAAAACCATATCAAAATACGTATCCCACATATCAAAACCAGATCAAATGATTTGGTATATGAGTTGATTTAGACTTACTCCCCAAAACATCTAAAACTTTCTATGACCTTTGAGGAGCTCAACGTTCTACACAGTTGTACTTGCAGACTTGTAGTCACATAGCTCTGATTATTATTAAGATTTGTGATAAGATGCTTTTAGTCTGTTATCATTATATAAAGCTCCAAGCAAGTCTTTGACTCTTGATGAATTCAAAATTTCACTTATGACACTGATCCTCACATCAGATCGCACTTTTTTTTCTTTAAAGGCAATAGCTTTGCAGAAGTATAAAAGAAAAATGGCCAACTAGCACTTCGTCTTGGAGGTGGAGAACAACCAGGAAAACTGAAAAGCCAGGGAAGGAAGATATCACAGTATGAGAAATTCTTAAGCAGGGAAAAGGAGCTAGAGCCTGTTGGAAATTTGCTGAAAAGCCTAAGTTCTAGATAATATTTATATTTTCAAGCTTCCAAGAACTACAGCTTTTCTGAATCACCACATCACTAACATCTACAAAAGATGCTGGAATTCCTGGAGTTGTTCCATATCAAGAGCTATGGAATATGCATAGATCACACTACATTTGGCATGGAAAGAGAGAACAATCAATAACATAAAACTAACAAGACCATGAGGGCAGGAAATGCCGTTGCAAGGCAGAGATAAAACCAAGAAACCCAAAGTTAATGCCTAAATACAGGTCCATTTTTTAATGTGGATTCATGTTATGCCAAATGACAGCACAGCTGCAATATTAAACACATTCTGTATTAGGTTTCCACTACTATTTTCTTACTATATAGATGTCTACGTAACCAGCTTTCAATTAGTTACATTCCCCGAGAGATTAAGAGGAAAGAAAACATCTGATTTTCATTAAGAACTATTTGAAAGATATCACATATAAAACCTACTGCTTACAATTATGGGTGAGCTCCAGCAACATCCAATGCCCCCCCAGTATAAAGCTCCTATTATATCTTATTTTGACTATACAGACAGAACAGCATAGTTCCATTTTCAAATAATTTACAACTTAAATAAGGCAGGTTGAAACCTAATATATACTAAGTGACATGAAACTCCATACCATGCATAGCATGCTTTGGACCAGAGAGAAGTTTCACCAAGGCCCAGAAGGCATCTTCTTCATTCATGTACATAAGGAGTAAAGCTGTGATCTGGCTCATTCCCTGACAGTATCCAACTTCCTGAAAATCAGAGAGTGAAAGTATTAAATGCTGAAAACAAAAGCCTCATCACCATAAGCTGCTAGTTTTTCCTTCAGCTAGGGGAGGAATGAGGATGCCTGCCCTGATGGCATAAATTCCCTAATTATGGCACCACCAAACACACTTAGTAATTAAACAGTTAAACAGGATGTTGCACAACCCCCCAGCTGAAAAGTAAACTGGAAGTCCTGATTGTTCATTAGAACTCTCTACTGATGCACAAAATCCTTGCCAGTACTAATAATTTCAAGTAACTCTATCATCTTATTCTCCAAATAGATGTGTTTTCCTTTTAGTTTTAATTTGTTTGGGTTTGCTTTTTTTTTTTTCTTTGTGGGGAGGGGGTCTTGCTTTATTTCACTTTACGGTCAGGGCAACATCTGATAAACTGATATGACTTTTCAAGAGTGACCTATAACTACAAACATGCTCAAGTTTAACAGCCCGTAGCAAGCAAATCTAATAAACCAGAAGAAAAACATTTTATTGTTCCAAAATTGAACTTGAGTGTTTCCTCTGCTATTAATTTTGACTTTTATGGCAGGAACCAACTGTCACTATCATTTAGCTGCTCAGATAATCTAACTGGTAAAATATTTGTAATGACAATGACTTAATTGTTAGATAAGCTTTTTCAGGTTTACAAGTTCTTAGCAGAACTTTGTTCTAGAGAGAAAACCAAAGCATAAGAACTGCTACATATTAAGAGGAAAAATGCAACAACAAAAGTGCAAAATAAAAACCTCACTGCAGTATTCCCACCGTTACACTTTTAACAATTGATTTTAAACAATATTTTTCATGCAACTTGAAGATTTAGTCCGATGATGTACAGGAGATATATAAAGTTTCTTTCAGAGCTTTATTTCTCAGCATGTCAAGGCTGCTTACAACAAAAAGTTTATGACAACATATCAAGTCAAAGACAACAAATTCCAGCATTGTAATTTCTTCTATGGGCCAACAATTGTGAGAAGACAGAAACCAAAACAGAACTTCAAAAACTAAACAAAGTGATAAGAGGAACTGCTTAAATGCACTTTCTTCTTCTTAACCTTATGTATTTTTACATTGAATTCTAGGCAGCTGCCGATGGATGAAAAATGAAAGTACAAAAATTATCAAAACGGGCACAAGGAATGAGGGGATAGCATGTTAGAACCACAGTTAAATGTGGACACAATAGCATTTCTGCTGTTTCTAGTTTTAGCATGCAGCCAGAAGACATTACAAAATACATAAGTTTCTAACCCATATGATATAGTCTAGAAACCCCACTGTCATGGTTCAGTCAGGGTTAAAGAAATCCTCACCAAGTTTAGCAGAGGAATGTACTTAAACACATATATTGGAGCATACCTAAAAGAGGGCTTAAGTAAAGAAGATGCAACCTTTAAAAGCATTTTCTGTTTATTAGAACCCTCCAGGTTAAAAAATATGCCTGTTTACTCCAGCGTTCATCTTTCTGCAGGGTGTTTTCCCTCCCAGCACTCAAATGATCTTAATGGGAGGTATATAATATAATGGGGGGAAAATACCAGTAGTATAAAACTCCACTAGAGCACAAATTCATTATTCTTATTAGATACAATACTTAGTTTCAGTCAAATTGTTTGCACAGTTCAGTCTGCCCAGTAAGATACTCATAAACAAGATGCTTTGTTTTATTTTAACTTCAGCTCAAAACATGTCAACAAACAAATAATGTATTTCTACATACTTCCAAATGTCTCTGAAATGTTTGGTTTGGGTTTTTTAGGGAGAAAGAAGATACTTTTAAGTGTGAAGGTACACAACTTACCGTATTATATATGGAATATGCAGCTAAAACATGGAATAAAGATTGTTGCCTGGAGAAATAAGAGCAGAAAAGAAAAATAATATAATATCGCCTTTTGTAAAACAGAAAAACATAAAAGTGGGGAATTGTGTTTTGGAAACGTGTTTGCCCAATTTAACTTGTCTCACATGCAAGAACAGGACAAGCCCCACTTTACAATGATATGCTCTTCTGATTTCAAACCAACATTGTATTTAGCACTTTCACAGAATTCACAGAATTCACAGGTTTCAAAAAATACTTATAATGATATGCTCTTCTGATTTCAAACCAACATTGTATTTAGCACTTTTCTGATGTTTTACATGTTGAAATGTTTCAAAAAATACTTATAATACTGTGAGAAGGCAATGGTGTTAGATCATCATTTTTACAACATAGGATGGGCTACTTTTCAAACACTGATTTATTCTGAATACCAAACTTTAAACACCCCAGATCTGACTTCTGTGCTTGCAGAACACTAACAGCTGTCACTAATTTCAGAGATGTAAGAGAGCTGAAATACACGCAGCAGCCACAAAGGTGTCTTAATCTTGGCACCCAAATTGAAGGCTGCTTTAGTGACTTCTACTGCCAAACTGAAGAAAAACAATAGTAACTCTGACTCAGCATCCTATGCTCAATCCTCCAGAGCGCACTGATCTCCACATACTTCAGAGTCAGAATTACAAAGAGCTTTCTATAGGTCCGTCACTTTCTGTAAAAACAGTCTAACTTGTGAAGGTAGTAAGACCAAAAAAAAAAAAAAAAAAAAACCACAACCAAAAAAACAACCAGCAAGAAAACAAGAAACAACAAACCACACAACCAAAACAAAACTCTGCTCTTCTCAAATTGGAATATCAAAGTATTGGTGGAGAGCTCTCATAATGAATTTTTAAACTCACACCTACTTTTTTGGGGATTTGTTGGGGACAGAATTTGGAAATCTGAATGCCTACTTTCATTTACAACTAAACCAGCTAAAATTTAACTGCTGAGTTTTGTACACTGTCCTTTTTGTGTCCACTGGAATTCCCTCTGTCTGTCACTAATCAAATGCAGAAAAATAGATATTAGCAGGTTAAAAAAAGAAAGCATAAGCAAAAAGCTGTTTATTTTCTATTGGGAAAAGGATGCATACTTGGATAATTTTGCCAAAACATCTAGATTATGGCATTTTTGTTTGCCCTCTTGCAGAACTGAAGCTCAGCTATTCTTCAGTAACCAAAGTAAAGCGTAAGTTAAAGTACTAGATATTAAGCTGGAGTCTTATTTTACAAGGACAAACTAAAAGGTCCCAAATGTACACAGGAACTTTTTATATCTTCAGTTGACCATGAGAAGAAACTCAACATAAGAGCTCAGTCTAATTCACAGTAAGATCTATAAAATAATGGTAATTTTAGTACTATTTACACTAGATTATACCACTAAAGACCTGTAAAAGAATGAACCTTCAAAGATGTACGGTCTACTTAAAAGTCAAACAAGCTACTGATTTACCAGGGGGACTTTATTTCACTGCTATGTGAAATGATTTCTGAATTTTTCATCGAGGCATCACTGGAAATGCATAATATATGTACAGTAATTCCAAGATCTATTCCAAGTGTGAAATTGCTTTATGCAGCCAAAGGCTTTCCTGTGGACTCTGCGGGCACGCTTACAGCACAGTTACAGGGACTGGAGCTGGCTCTGCTTGTGTTAACCCCAAACTGATGGGGTAGCAAGCTTCTGCTAACACCTGAAATGTGTGCATAAAAACTGAGGCCCAGAAGCAACAGAGCCATTTTTGTATGGCACCGTGTCAGTACGACTGAGAGGCAAAGCACGTCAGCTCAAGTATAGATCGCACCGCACAAATATCTAAACTACAGTGGCTGCACAGAATAGCTCTCAGCTTGGGAATTTCTGCTTCATACTCTGTCCTGTGTTGCAGCCATCAGAGAAATTCCCCACATTTAGAATTTGTCCACAAAATACCTAGAAAAATAGTATAAGAAAATGTTTGCTTTATTATCACATTGAAGTACACAGCTCTGAGTATTGCTTTTTGAAAAGAGCAGGCTACCGTAGAATATGCCTTGGAAAGAAAAGGAGATTAAAAAATGAACTAATACATTCACAGAAGGGAAAAAAATACCCTCTTCATCTCAGCAGGGTGCTGATGCTGCAAGCTAGCAACAATGCTGATGTTTTTATCACCACTTATTTCGCTATTAAGCATTTTTAAAGATGACAGCAGCCTAATATTCCTCATCCAATGACAGTAAATAAAAAAAACAAACAAAAAACCCCACAAACCCCCCAACATTTTAAAGAAATCCAAAAGCATTAAGGCATCCATTTGTAAATAATTAAATGCTCACATCTAAAATACTGCCTTATTTGGTTCTGAATTAGATACTAGAAGAGGAATGCAAAATCCAGAGTAAGGCTAAAATCTCTGGGAAGACAGAAGTTATTAGAGATGCAAAAATTTATTTTGTTTTTGAAAACACAGTTAAATAAAATAATTGGGTAATAAATCTTAATTTATTTATTAGCTTGGAATTCCCATGCTTTTGCATCTACAATATCTGAGACTGTTTTTATTAAGCATGAAACAAGATAAGAACAGTTTAGAAACGGTTTCCTTTGGAATGCTGCTGATCACCTTGTAGTGAGGGAAAACTTGCTGGTCGGAAGTGACCGTCTGATTTTGCAGCAGTAATGCTAATTACATCATTGCGCATAGACAATCCTGCTTTGAAAGTCTGGAGCTTGCATTCAATATTCTTGCAGAGGTCAAAGAGGCTTGAGGCAGATTGGAAGCTAGTTTTAAGACAAACAAAACCAAACCTTTTCATTTACTTACTTAACACCGTATCTGTCTCGAAACATGATATGATCTCTATATGTTCGATTTACATCAAGATCAATTTGCCTAATATCTGGTGAAGACCCTCGTGCTTGACACTTCAATTTCTGGAAAAACAGTAAAGAACAGAAATTAAGTTTAAAATTATGAACTCTAAAATAGCAGAAACCTGCCTGACTGCACACCTAAGTTGAAGTATTCCCCATTTCGTGATTTAAAACACTTACTATAGAATAGCAACTCACAAGCTACCAATTTTAACTTCTAAAATATGCATATACATATATAAATTCTACAGAGTCAGACACATTCACAGAGTATAGATGTAAAAAGACTGATCACATAATACACATTTTTGTGACACACCTCTCACTACCCATATTCAAGGCTATGTTTCAGCATTTCAAATTTCTAATTGCCATTTCTCAGGTAGGCACACCACTGTGTGACAGAAAAGGGATTTTACTAGTCAGGAACAAGAAACTAAGATGCAAGTGCTCCAGACTGGACTCCTAGCAAACGATTTAGTGTGGGTTTCATACTTTTTCTGCTTTTTTCTCTAAGCAGAAGTAATAGGTAATAACTGGCAGCTAAGCAGCTAAGTACAGATAATGGACATTTCTCTAGTCATTTCCTCTGTCCTTCCATTCTAATCTAATTTAGTTGTAGAATACCTCTACTTTAGTACTTGCTTTAATGTTTTATAATTAAATCCAATTTTGCAGTTGAATACTCAGGAAGCCTGCACAGGTTAGACTGCGAAAAATAAGGTGGCACTTAAAAGAATTTTCTCTTGACATTCATTCATTCTCACTTCTGTCCCTAAAAGTTGAGTCTGCATGACATTTCTACCTGGATTCAACATGGTATTTTCAAAACATTACATTTGAGCAGGCATTATTAGAGAATACCCCTGACAACCAAAAGGCAGAACTCTACGGATTCTGGTTGCAAGAAAACACAAAGGTTTGAGGACAAAAATGAGAAAAACAAAGAGATCAAACAGGGAACAATAACATCCATTCAGTCTGTTGAATACAACCAGAAGCCTCAGACAACTTGGGAATTACCTGTCAGTCATTGAACAACCTGATAGCAGCCATTAACCAGCACAACACTAACCAGTCTCAGCTCTGTGCACCTTTCAGTATAATTTAAAGTACTAACATCCAGAATGATTTATCTCCCAGACAGAAAGAAAAGAAGAGAAAATTTAGAGTTTTAAGGTGACACGACGACCCACAGCCTATGATTTGTTGGAATACAGGAAAAGAACCACCCTGAGTTCTTGCTATCGGTGGGAGCCTCTAGCGTGAGTGAAAAGAAAGGATACCTAGAGGTTGAGAAATGGAAAGGACAGAAGATTAAGAACTGGTAATTGCCCTGCACAGAGAACTGAAAGAAGCCGTTTGACCTACAGCAAAGTGCGTATTTTCATTCTAATTTAAGGTGTGCAATTTGTAAGTGATACTTGTAATGAGGAGTGTTAATATCACTTCAGGAAATGGGAAAAATGGAGAGTAGTAATATAAGCTTATTGCAAATAAACAAGCTAGGCTAATGAGGGAAGAAACTCTTTCTATTTCTATATCTGAACCACAGACAATTTTTTTGGTTTGCATTGAGCATTAGATGGCATTAATCACTTCCGAAGAAGAATTCACCCATTTTAAATGCTTCTAGTTTTACTCAGTAGTCTTTCCCACAACTACATTATTCAGCAAAACAAAAGAAGCATGGCCAGCAGGTAGAGAGAGGCGATTCTGCACTCTCATGAGACCCCACCTGGAATATTGTGTCCAGCTCTGAGTCCACAACATAAGAAGGACATGGACCCGTGGGAGCAGGTCCAGAGGAGGCCCCGAAGATGATCTGAGGGCTGGAGCACCTCTCCTATGAGGACAGGCCGAGAGAGTTGGGGTTGTTCAGCCTGGAGAAGAGAAGGCTCCAGGGAGACCTTATAGCAGCCTTCCAGTATCTGAAGGGCACCCACAAGGCTGGAGAAGGACTTTTTACAAGGGCATATAGTGATAGGACAAGGGATAATGGCTTCAAACTGGAAGAGGGGAGATTTAGAATGGATATTGGGAAGAAATTTTTCACTTTGAGGGTGGCGAAACACTGGAACAAATTGCCCAGGGAAGTTACGGATATCCCATCCTTGGAGGTGTTCAAGGCCAGGCTGGATGGGGCTTTGAGCAACCTGGGCTGGTGGGAGGTGTCCCTGCCCATGGCAGGGGGGTTGGAACTAGATGATCTTTAAGGGCCCTTCCCACCCAAACCATCCTGTGATTCTATGATTTTATGAACTCTGTTTTATCCCTTTTGGATCTGCCACTAGTCTTACTGACAAAGTTAAACAAAATGTAATAGTCAGAAAGAGCAGCCTGTCAGACTAAAGAGCAATAAATAATTTAAGACGAAGATCACAGACACCAAAATTTAGATAACATCAATGCCAACATCAATCTTCTTTCATGACCTTACAAGATTCCTTGTCTACTCAGATCCAAACTCTCAGCTCCAAAAAAGTCCTATTAGAAAATACCAAAACCAAACAAGCAAGAGGTTTTCTTGAAACTCTGGACATTATTTGTTTAAAAGACAGTGAACATATAAATACCTGTGGGGAAAAATTCAAACAGTCTATAATACTAAACTGCCTTTGTTAGCTAAACTCTCCCTATAATCCTTTAGCAGATTAAGAGAGACAGAGAGGAAAAGACAATTTTAAAGGATTAGATGCCCCTTCTGCCTAACTTACTAGCTTGCACATGAACCTCCTTCTCCACTCTTGGGTTTGAATTTTAGCTCTGATGGCCATCAGCTGTATTCACACCCACAGGAAAAGCAGAGTTAGTAAGGTAAACATGTAGAGGAATGTAACTACAATAATTCAGAGGTTGCTTCAACTGCCACTCAGGGTAAGCACAGGGACTGGGAGGGGGGTGGGAGGGGTGGCGGGGAGTGTAACACACACCTATTTTCTTTATATTCGAAGTAGGATATACGCTTAAGCAGTCGATTTATGCCTGTAGAATTTTGCAGGGTTAACATCCGGTCATTGGTTGCACCTCTGAGAACACAATGAAGTAATCAGACAGTGCTTTGTAAGGGATACCTAAACTTCACTTGGAGATGAGATGGCACAAAGATAGCCAGCTTGTTCTAGCATTTACGAGATTAAGGCACCAACCTCCATCCCCTCCAGAATACTGGAACTCCTCTTACTGATATTCAGCTAAAAAGGTGTTTCCTTAATAGACATTTCTCAAACAGCTGTAGTTTCAGAGGTTTCTGTCTTCTTATTGGGACAGATTTTTTTTTTCTTATTTTGTTTTGCTTTGCTTTTAGAAGGGCTTTTGCAAGTATTTGAGGATTGGAAAAGAAATGGAAAGAAGATCAAATTAATTACATGAATTACAGAACCAAAAATAAGCTGGAAAAGTGCTTTTCAATACATAGCCTTTTTCCTAGCTAAAATAAGCAGTAGAGTTCAATGCAATTTCTAATCCTTTTTTTTTTTAAAAAAAACCCCAACACCGCTGTATAACAACAAAAGCTTAATAAAGCCTGTAGTCTTAGTATATAATTTTTTTTAATTAATATTAAGTAGAAATTCTGCAGACTCACATTATAAAAGTCTTTCATTTCTTCTTTCATTTTAGGGACGTCAAGTAGTAAAGACCAGACTTGCCCTCTGAACTGCAGTGGGATTCCTTTATAAATTCTCCTATGAAACTGTTAAAAGAAAAGAAAATATAAATGCAGAACAATCTACCACACTCTGAACAAAAGGAACAGTGACACGCAACATGCTAAAGAGAAAAATGCAATTATATCAATTGTCCTAGCAAAGAGATGACCCGCTGGGGACAAAACATTCCAGTGTCTTCTGAGGGACTGAAAGTGTCCAGCGAAGCCATCTGAGACCTCTGTTGATGGAATCAGCAGAGGCACGGGGAACAAAATGGACACACAGGTCAAAACATCACTCTGTGCAGGAAATGCTTTTAAGCCATGACTTTAGCACGTAGGAAGGCCTATCAAAATTGCATCACCTCTGCTGAGCAGCACTTATTCTACAAGTATTGGAAAGACTACTCTAAATTTTGTAATTTAGACCCCAAAAAACCAGATTCTTAGCAACACAATATTTCAGGACAAGCCACAAATAACTCACTATAATTACAGACTATAAATGGGAATGGTGAAAGGCAACCAGCAATATCACAAACTTTTAAAAATTACCAGTAAAAAAAAAAAGCGTAACTGATTTTTGAATTCTTGTAAAACTGCAGTGTGCTGAAATGTATGTATGCATACCAAATAAACATGTGAGATAACCAAAAAATCCAGGACGTGCAATTTCTAAAGCTAACAGATTTCAAATTGTATTTCTAAACTAATAATCTGTTTTCTAAGGGCATATTAAAACACTTGCACAAAAACAATGTATAAAAGATATTCTAGCTACAGTTTCTAAGAATACAGAACAACCTACCAACACTGCATGCAATTCTTAGCTGTTAAATAAAAAATTAAATTCCCCATTCCTGACACATTCTGTTCTGACACAAAAAGCTTGTGTTAGAAACGGGTCAGAAGGGGATAACTCAGTACCTGTGCGTAACTAGAGCCGCTATATAAACTATTTATCAGTCTTGCCTCTGACATGTCACTGCTCTTGCACTCTCATTCAGTGGTTTGGTTCTTACTGGGCTTATTTGAAAAAAAATCAGGAGCACTGACAACTGTCTTCCTCAGTTCTCTTCTGATTTGTATCTCTTTACGCTGCAGCATTTAGGAGCATGAAGAGCCTCTACGCAGAGACAGATGGACTAGCTGTCTAAAGTCTTGGCTTTACGCAGCCAGGAGAGACTCAAGATAAGCAAGGCCTGAAAGCAACTGAATCCTAGTAAAAACACACAAAAAATGTTACCATCTTTCAGAACACGTGTCTTAAGAAAAGCCAATACAGAGAACTCTAACAAAGAAAACAGACCTTTCTGAAGTTCTGTTCTTACTATTATTTTAATGATGGCACAGGGAGACAATTAGATTCAGAAGAGAACAAAACACACACAACCCCTCCCCAAACAATTTGTTCTTTGCATTTAATCTACAATGAAAGCTAGACCTCAAAAATTTCAATTGACAAAGCTATCACTTCCTTGAAAAATTTATGAAAGTTATGTTGGTAACATAAGAAATATTTTAAAAGAAATGTCCTCCTCAAAGACCAGATCCTTTTTTCTTTTTCACATATTTCATGTCACAAGTTTTGGAAGATTAATGAACCCCTCATTGCAGCAAATCTGCAAACCTCCTGCCGTTTGGGACATACCAGATCTTTGAAGGTGTCTTTAATGCCAGAGAGGATTTGTGTCTGGATTTTAGAATGCACTACTCCTACACAAGTATTCCGATGGCTTTCTGATGCAAACAAAACTTAGAAGGGTTAAGACTTTTTTTTCTTGTCCCCTTTTCAAATGAAAATTTCAAACTTGTATAAGATGCAACAGCCATGCTGGAGGTGGTCCACAAAGGAAGTGTTGTGCTTTTTAAAGAAAACTTTGCTGCTTTAATACTATTAAGATTGCTTAAGTAGCAACACTTCTAGTGTGAGAGCAGCTACGTCAGTACAGTTTCTTCTATAAAGATAAAGAAAAAGGTACAGTGCTACAAAGCACCCTTGTACAGAGGTACTTCTAGACTGCAGCTCATGCAGAGAATTTCAGTGTGGGTCAACCCAGAAACAAGGATAACTACTTGCAAGTGAGGATAATTCAGTCTTTTGAAAGCCAAACAACACCAACTGCAGTGGAGTCATCCTGCTAAGAGAATAGCCTGTTTACGGGAAACTAGAATGAACCAAATTTGTGAAATCTTTTCTGGGAACTTGAAAGACAAAAAAAAAAAAAAAAAAAGCAGTATTATATGTCCCCAGTGACATGTAGCTGTATTCCTCAGACCCACGGTACAGCAATAGTGTATCTTGATAACAAATATGACTGCCAGTTCATTATCATTTTATAACCCATTTCCAAATGTCTCCATCATAAAGAGTGAAGAGAACTGGTTGAAGAAGAAATTCTCAGGATGACTTTTGCTCTAAATGAGTATTTTGGGAGAAGATCAGACAGGCATCAAAGGCCAGAATAAGCCTTCATAATAACAGTTTCTTATTGAAACAGAATTAAAAGAAATTCAAACCAAAGTATGGGGTTGTTTGAGGGGTTTTTTTTTAGGAGATAAAGCTGAAAGAGAAGAACAACCAGTTCCAGAGGACTTGATGGCATTTACAGTTTTCCCATCTTCTGCCCTTCCCAGACCGAAACAGCCAAATACTAGGAAGAGCCCTTGAAGTAGTAAGTAAAAATTGAGATAGAGAATTGTGGAAGCACTTTTAAAAGAAAAGCTTGAAAAATGAGTTGGCAAAAATAACTTTTAAAAGTCTAGAAAGGACACAGAGACCAGCAGTTTCATTGGCCTGCTACAGTTATGCCAAAAAAACCCAAAACCCAGAAGGAAAGCAAACGTTCTCAGCAGCTAAGATCAGAATTACTGCACTACCTGACAGAACAAACCTAAATAACATTTGGAGCTTCTTGCAAACCATTTTAGATCTGTATCTAGCTGACTTTGCTGTGTCAACTATTCTTTTATTTAGGCAGAGAAAAAAAATTCTCAGTCATCCCAAAGTGTTACCAGATCCTGCGTACAGACTCAACAGAACACAAGACTAAAGACTTTCACTGTCTGCCTGGTATACGAGAGAGAAACGTAACTCAAGCGCAGAATCTTTCATGGCACAGGCTCCATTGCACAAACGATAACTCGGAAACAAGTGTGAATAATTTTATATACAACAGAAAACCAGGAGGAGTGGCTGACACATGAGAGGGTCACACTGCAATCCAGGAGGACCTCAACAGGCTGGAGAAATGGGCTGACAGGCACCTCATGAATTTCAACAAGGAGAAGTGCAAAGTCCTGCACCTGAGGAGGAAATACCCCCCACACTGATATAGGCTGGTGACCAACCAGCTGGAAAGGCGCTTGGCAGAAAAGGCCCAAAGGGTCCTGGTGGACACCAAGTTGGACATGAGCCAGTAATGTGCCCCGGGAGCAAACAAGGTAAAAGGTATCCTGAGCTGCATTAGCTAACGTACTACCAGCAGGTCGAAGGAGGTGACCCTTCCCCTGTACTCAGCACTGGTGAGGCCACACCTGGAGCGCTGGGTCTGGTGCTGGGCTTGTCAGTACCACAGAGACATGGACACGTTCGACAGAGTCCAATGAAGAGCCACAAAGATGATTAAAGGTCTGGAGCACCTGTCCTATGAGGAAAGGCTGAGAGAGCTGGGACTGTTCAGCCTGGAGAAGAATAGGCTCAAGGAGATCTTATCACTGTAAATAAATACCTGAAGGGAGAGTGCAAGGAGAACAGAGCCAGGCTCTTTGCAGTGGTGCCCAGGGACTGGGCCAGAGGCAACGGGCACAAACTGAAGCGCAGGATGTTCCTTCTGAACATAAGGAAACAGTTTGTCACTGCAAGAGTGACTGAGCACAGGTTACCCAGGGATACTGTGGAGTCTCCATCTTTGGAGATACTCAAAAGCCGTCTGGACACAGTCCTGGGCAGCTGGCTGCAGATGGCCTTGCTTCAGGAGAGGGGGTGGACCAGATGACCTGCAGAGGTCCCTTCCAACCTCAACCATCCTGTGATTCTGAGATTTTGTGAAAATGACACGGCTGCACTGCATCTCGGGGAGTGGGGCAGAGGGGTGGGGTGGGAACCCGCACATACTTTACAGCAAAACTCATTTCTGGTAATCATTCAGTCATCAAATAGTTAAAGAACATACAAATGAGCAAACTGATTATTGGCTAATTGAACATCTTTACCACAAGTACCATACTACTGCCCTCTGCTGTCTTTTACTTCCATGTGTAATAGAAGATTGAAAACACAGGTTGGGTCTATATACTTGCAGAACCTTAATGTACTCGTCTGTTCTCCCTGAATTAAAAATTAAAATAAAAAGTAGAAAGTTCAGCAAAATAATTTTTCTTCTACTTCTGGAGAGATGAAATAATGAGTCAATTGTCAATAAATTCTTTAAAATGAAGGCTTCCTTAAGATAATGGCTCAACACAAAACACAAGTATATGAACATAGAGTTCAGATAATCATTGTATGAAAACATGCATCATTCAGAGAATGGTGTTAGGGAATGTTTCCATCAGCATAGGACATAGAAAAAAAGAGAGTCAGCCTCTTAAATAAAAATACAGGTTCGAGCTCTGTATCACATCTAAGCTAATATTCAGCCAAGGATAATTGTCATAAACTCTTGCAATTATTACTAATATTGTTGATTTTGAAGTAGATAGGACAAGCAGACACTAGATGAGGCCCTACCACCCAGGAATTCAAAAGGAGCTTCTCATGCAATAAGAAACCGGACTTGTAAATTGAACCTTCCCATTGTGAAAAAGAATACACAGAATGAATTAAAAAGCTTATGAAGCAAGAAGAAAAATTATAAAAAAAAAAAAAACAAAAAAAAACCCAAAAAAACCCACCAAAAACCAGAACAACCTCTCAAATTTGGAATATTCAAAATCAGCCATCATCTCAAATAATGCAGACCATAAAATCCAAAATTCAATGTGGCCTCCATGCAAAAAAACTGGAAAACATACAATCTCCCCTTCCTTCCCCTGCCCCAATC